ATGTATCAATGATATCAAAACCAACGTTAATAATTGCGTAAAAAAAAAAGTTGTAAGCAGTATATCGAATAAATAAATGAAATGGAACGAACGAAAAATAATTTTTTTTACGCAATTTGTTCATTACCTTCCCCAATTTGATTTCTACTTGATTTTGATGTCGACGTTGCGGTGGATTCAGAGGATATTGTAGAGTTTTCAGATCCTTCCTTAGTCATGGATCTTTTATTATCTTGTTGGATATTTGAAATATCCACGGAACCTTTCTGTTCCTCCTTCAAAAGATTCATTCGCTCGTCATTATAAATAAAAGGATCCATCAATGTGGAGTTCGTTTGTTCCCCTTGAAGATTTACTGAAGTATTTTCATTAATTAAAGTATTCACAACACCTCCAGGATTCAATGAGACTTCTTCATCAATTGATGAATTTATAGAACTTTTCACAGCTCCCCCGGGTTTCACTGAGATTTCCTTATCAATTGAAATACTCATGGAATTTTTCTCAGCCCCCCGAGGAATCACTGGAATTTCTTTATCAATTGAAGTACTCATAGAACCGTTCTCAACTCCTGGAGGAATCACTGGAACTCCTTTATCATTTGAGGTGATCAAAGGATTATTCAATAATATGTCTTCATTAACAGACATATCATTCTCTTGAAGATTCGTTAACATTTCTCTATTAGAATTTTTAAAAACCTTGGATACTGCCATGATTGCATTTTGCAATTCAATCATCATGTTTTTCTCCAAATCCATCATTCTATTGACATCTTCTAAAGACATTCCATGCAAAGTACCTAACATTGTCGTGAACGAGTGTGCTAAATTTTGAGATAAGGTCTCCATATGTAAATCACAACTAGAATTGGAATTGGAAGGATCTAAATTTAACGTATTAGATTGTTTAGATCGCTTAGACTCATTTCTCACAGGTTGTCTCAAATTTATTTCAACATTTGTGTCTTTAGGTACTTCAATGTCTGTTTCCATAAGATCATCAATTATTGGATCTGATCGTGCGTTCGACATGTTTGCTATTTTATCGAAAAAAAAACAAACCTCTCTTTTTAGTTATAAATAATAAAGATATTTGTCTTGGATAGCAAGCCTTAACATAACAGGCAAGCTAGAATTTCTAAAAATATTTAAAATACCTGTCAACCTCTTTTTTTTTCCTTCTTTATTATTCTCTTTTCTGGAAAAAAAAAAAAATGAAAATGAAAATGAAAAAAAAACAAATAAAAAGCCTCCGAGACAACGCTGAGAACTGGCATTTCGAATTATAATAGTTTCTCAAAATAGTAGGTATCAACGTTGTGACTCATTAGACTCATTACACGTGATAAACAACTGTTTTTAAAAAAAGAAAATTTTCATATTAACATACGTATTTCTCAATAATGATATATAAATGTATTTTTAGCTACTTCCTTCGATCTAAATAAAAATTTTTTTTTTTTAAAAATTAATTTTTAAATTTGTTAATATCTTAAAAGATGGCAACCAAAGAAAAAGTTATACAAGGA